TATGATGATAAAAATGAGATGAGAAAGATTGTGATTGGTGTTTGAAAGTTTAAACAATGGATAAATAGAGCTATGGTTAGCTCGGGAAACACGAAAAATTAGGCAGAACTCTGCCGAAATTTAGTTTGGAAATTGTGAACCAATCTTGGTTGTAATTGGGAGTATGAGATGTATAAATGAGATGATTTAGTGGTTAAAAACGTGTGGAAAACCTGAAACGATGGGAATCCCCAGTTTCGGATCAAACCTGAACACTTAGTTAATGACTGAAAATGTATATTTGAGTATGTTTAGGCTAAAGAACCAAGATAGATGCTTGATTTCAAAAAGTGCTCAATATGTAAATAATCATTACAGATATTAACCACGGTGTAGTAAATTCAAATATTACATGAGTTTACAAAAGTTAACTTCCTTACATTTATATGTCAGAAGATGAACACAATCCTCGCTAGATCCAACAGTAGCAAATATCTAGCTACTCCGCACTGCTCCTAGAGTCTCCTAGGAGGGGTTAACATTTATAAAACAATGAAACGTGAGAGAAAGGCTCAGTAGGATATATTTGAAATAACTTTATAAATAAATGAATGAATACATAAGCGAGTAAATAAATAAGACATTCAGTTCTAACTCAACAGCCAAAACCTCATATCTTTTTTCTGAAAGGAATATAAACTGAAATTTACTGTATTATAGGCATCAGCAAGTAATTTGTACAAATTACTTACACAACCAAGTGCACAAGCCTACCCGGACCAAGTTTCAGGTTCTACCCTCGTGGATGCACTCTCCACATCCTATCTAGGCCATTAGCAATATTTTCTTACCGGTTCGCAAGATCTCTTTCATTAAGAAATCATTTATTAAACATTATGAAATCGTTATTATAATCCCATGAACTACAACAAGCCGTGGGTCCCCATGAACTACAACAAGCCATGGGTTCCGTGAACAACAACAAGCCACGGTTTTTAAAATATTTTTCTTTTGCAAATAAGCCCCTTTCTTTAAAACATTTGCAAGGCCAAAATCCTTTTGAAAATCAGGCTCACAAAGAAACGGATAGAAATCCTACCTCGAAATTACCAAACCTGTGGCTAGCGGCGCACTATTCTAGCTTTTGCTTCCTCAAGCCACTCAATCTGAGTCTTCAGCTATCACTGTTACAAGACAATACTTTAGGATTCCAATCTCATTTCTAAAGTAATTTAGACTCAATCATATCCTTTAATTTCCTATTAGTGTGCCATAATCAATCTCATGTTTCAAATCATAATTCCAAGAGTTTTAATTCCAAAACATGGATTAAAGATACTAATCCATCGACTCTAGGTCCCAAAATGAAGCTAATTTGGGTCCTTCCCGAAAATAGGAGTGAAAACAACAATTTCAGGCCAAACAGGGTCAAACGCCGTGTACACTGGTCGACCGGTGACAGAGCAGTGCATCACCATCGGTTAACCGGTGGTGTGCAATCCGGTCGACTGGACCGGTCGACCGGTCGCCTCAGTGCAGTGTGGTCGACCGGTGAAGAACACCAGTGCGAGAAAACTCGAAGAAATTAGTTTGAAAACCTATAAATCCAGTCCCAAATCAAAATATTTCAAGGGACAACCACTAGAACCGGGTTCTAGGTCCTAAAACAAGTCCAAAGAACCCAAGATCTCCAATTTCTACCCTAGTTTTACTCAAAAACCTTCAAAATCTATTTCGAACCAAAAATGAGTCTTAAATCTGAAATTTTAGGATTTCAAGAGAGGTTTTTCAGAAATCTTACCTTGAATCCTTCTCTTGACGTTGAAACTTCTTGAAACTTTCCTTTGGTTCGAAATCCTGTTGATTTGAAGCAAAAACGGGAGAGAGAGAGAGAGAGAGAGTGTGAGTGTGAGAGAACGAGAGAGTGAGAGAGAGAGAGAGAGAATGGTCTGAAAGAGAGACAGGAGGAAAAGAAGAAAAGAAAGAAAAGGAAGAAAAGAAAAAGAAAAAGAAAAGGAAATAGACAGGTACCAACAATTAAAAATAACAGTTTAGAAATGTGCCCATACACACTTCTGGGTTAAAATAAAAATTACCGAGAATATTTAAATACATTGGAATTATTTAAATTACACGTCAGAAATATTTATTAATCAAAATCAATTAATTAAATCAGATTAGGCACATTAATAAATCTTAATTATCTCAATTAATTCCATTTAATTCTTCAGGGTATTACAACTCTACCCCACTTAAGTTATTTCATCCTCAAAATTAGAGCTCACCTCACAGTAGAAACAGATGCGGGTATTGTTCCTGCATCGTTGTCTCAAGCTCCCATGTCGCTTCCTGCACTCCATGGTGCTGCCATAACACTTTCACTAACGAAATCTCACGATGACGCAGACTCTTCATCTTCCGGTCAAGAATCAGAACCGGTGCCTCCTCGTATGTCATGTCATACTGTAGCAGAACGTCATACCATTGCACTACAGCTTTTGGATTAGGTTGACATTTCTGAAGCATGGAGACATGAAACACGTCATGCATGTGAGATAACTCAGGCGGTAAAGCCAATTGATACGCCACAACACCGACTCGTTGCACGATCAGGAATGGTCCAATATACCTTGGCCCAAGCTTCCCTTTAACACCAAATCAAACAACTCCCTTGTGAGGGGAAACCTTCAACAGAACAAAGTCGCCTTCCTGGAATTCCAGAGGCCTATGCCTTCTGTCAACATAGCTCTTCTGTCAACTTTGAACTGTTAGCAGTCGTTCCTGAATCACAACTATGTTCTCATTGTTCTTTTGGACAACCTCTGGTCTAGTAGTGAGTCTATCCTCTGGTTCCAACCAACAAAAAGGTGATCTACAAGGATGACCATACAAAGCCTCAAACGGTGCCATACCGATACTGGCCTAATAGCTGTTGTTGTAGGTGAATTCAGCAAGGTGCAGGTATTTCTTCTAGTTCCCGCCAAAATCCAGAATACAAGCATGAAACATATCCTCTAGAATCTAAATTACTCTTTCAGATTGCCCATCAGTCTGAGAATGAAATGCGGTGTTAAAATTCAAATCCGTTCCCATGGGTTCCTAAAAACTCCTCCAATACCTTGCATTAAAACGGGTATCACGATCGGACGTGATAGTGGCACTCCATGTAGCCTCACAATGTGCTCCAGGTACAATTCTGACAGAATCTTCTGAGAATATGTCGCACGGAATGGTATGAAGTGTGCAGACTTCATCAACCTATCCACCACCAGCCAAATGGCATCGTGCTTCTGCTCGGTTCTCAGTAGCCCCATTAGAAAATCCATCGTGATGTATTCCCATTTCCATCCCAGAACAGGTAGAGACTGCAACTCTCCAGTTGGTTTTTAATGTTCAGCTTTAATCCGGAGGCAAGTTACACATTCTGAGACGTGCTCATGAGTGTCTTTCTTCATGCCTCTCCACCAGTATTGCCTTTTCAGGTCCTGGTACATCTTGGTACTACCCGGATGAATAGCGTACCTCAATTTGTGAGCTTCATGCAGAATCGCCTTCTTAATGTCATCTACTTCAGGAACAGCTAGGCGGTCACGAAAGTACAGCGTCCCATCCTTTCAGATTCTCCAATCCTTAAGCTGCTCTCCATTTTGGATCCGAACCTAGATTCCTTAGAGATGAGAATCTTGCCACTGATTCTGCTTGACTTGTTGCATAAGAGCTGGTGTGGAGATCAGATTATACACCATTGCCAGGTGATAATCCTCGTGGTACTAGAGGTCACAATCGCTCACAACTTCAGTCCTCTTCCAGTCTTCTAGAGCTAATGACGCTAAAGTCCCTGAGGTTTTCCTGCTAAGGGCATCAGTTACCACATTAGCTTTTTTCAGATGATACTCAAGCATGAAGTCGTAATCCTCCATGTACTCCACCCATCTCCTCTGCCTGAGGTTCATATCTTTTTGAGTAAACAAGTACTTCAGACTCTTATGATCAGAAAAGACCTGAAACTTTACTCCATAGAGATAACATCTCCATATCTTAAGAGCAAATATCATCGCTGCTAATTCCAAGTCACACATAGGGTAGTTCCGTTCATGCGGTCTCAGTTGGCGAGATGCGTAAGCTACAACGTGCCCACCTTGCCTCAAAACATAACCAAGCCCAACCCCCGAGGCGTCAAAGTACACCTCATATGGCTCCTCGGTATTAGGAATAGTTAGGACTGGTACACTTGTCATCCTTGCCTTCAATTCCTAAAAGGCATGTTCACATTCAGCATCCCACTCGAATCTGACCTCATTCTTGGTCAACCGAGTCATCAGTGCAGCAATACTCGAGAAGTCCTTTACAAAACACTGATAGTACCCTGCAAGTCTAAAGAAACTGCGAATCTCTGTTACATTCTTCGGCCTTTCCCACTGTAGCATAGTCTCGATCTCGGAAGGATCTACATAAATTCCTTGTCCTGAGATCACATGCCCAAGGAACTTCACTTCTGTCAGCCAGAAGTCACATTTCTCCTTCTTTGCATACAACTGGTGTTCTCGAAGAGTCTGAAGAACAATCCTCAAGTGATGCTCATGTTCTTCCTAAGTCTTCGAGTAAACTAGTATGTCATTGATTAAGATGATCACAAACAGATCCAAATACGGCTGAAAAACACGGTTCATTAAATCCATGAATGCCACCGGGGCATTCGTCAGCCCAAAAGGCATTACAAGAAACTCAAAGTGCCTGTATCGAGTTCTAAAGGCTGTTTTCGGGATATCATCCTCCTTGATTTTCAACTGATGGTACCCAAACCCCAAGTCAATCTTAGAGTAAAACTGTGACCCACCCAACTGATCGAATAACTCATCGATCCTCGGCAGTGGGTATTTGTTCTTCACAGTTACCCTATTCAACTGACGATGGTCAATGCACAACCGGAGGGATCCGTCATGCTTTTTCACAAACAACACCAGTGTACCCCAAAGGGAAGTATTGTTTTGTATATACCCCTTTTTTGCTAGCTCCTTAAGCTACTTTCTCAATTCTCTCATTTCAGTCGATGCCATCCGGTATGGAGGAATAAAGATAGGTGCCATTCCCGAAACCAAATCAATACAGAATTCAATCTCCCGATCTGGCGGCAACCCAGGTAGATCCTCAAGAAATACATCTGCTAACTCATCCACTACAGGAATTCCCGCACTATCTTCAATTATCTCGGGTTCACATTCCAAAACAAGAAGGGAAGAAAAACAGGCTAGATTCCTCTATCCCCCAACACTATACCTCAACAGTCGTTCTCCCAAGATTGGATTCATATCTACCTGATACGCAATCACTGCTCCAGACTTAGTCATCAAAGTCATTCTCCTACGGTAGCAATCAACAATTGCTCCATATTTCGACAACCAATCCATTCTGAGTACCACGTCAAACTTACTCATCAGAAGGATAATCAAATCAGCTCTCAATCGCTCACCCCCAATCATGATTTCACACGATCTACACACACTCATTACCTCCACACACCCTAGTGGGGAGTTCAAAGTCATCGGGACTTCTAAATTCTCAGATTTCAGTTTCAAAGTCTGAACAAAAATACTTGATATAAAAGAGTGTGTGGCACCTGTATCAAACAGCACATGAGTAAGAGAATGAGAGACTAAAATCATACCCTCAACCACGATATTGCTGGCCTGACCACCAAAACTGCCTCCTGTCAGGGTGTAAGCTTGGCCGTGTGCTTTCCCCTTCCCTTTATCACCAACATTAGGCCTTTGGGTCGGTGGCCTATACTGTTGTGGAAATGGTATTTGTATCTGTGTGTACTGAGGCAGTCGGTAGGCTGGAACAGGAGGGTAAAATGTTGGCATTGGCAGCTACAGCTGGGAAGGTGGCATGAACTACGGTGGCATCTCTTAACCACAGGAAACATCACCCTGGGGCTGGTTCCGATTATGTCAGTTCCTCCTAATATAACCAACCTGCTCACAGTGATTGCACTTTGGTCGGTATGGAGAATTTCTGTCACTCCCAGATGAACTACTTCCACCACTGATCACATCCCCAGTAACCTACCCTTGGTTTCAGTTTCTTCTGCTGCTCTGTTATGGCCCACCTGAAGCAGAGGGTCCACCCGAAGCAGAAGTTTGAGCAGCTGCTTCCTTGCTCTGCTAATAGGCTAAGTTATCTTGTTCCACACTGGTAGCAGCATCCACCAGGCATTGAAAATTTTAGATCCTTAGAGGCACTAAAGGTCTCCTTACATTAGGTCTCAGGCCTTTCTCAAACTTCAAGCATTTTAGATGCTCAGATTCCACCAGAGATGGCGCAAAGCGGGACAAGTCATTAAACTTAGCCTCATATTCCCTTATCATCATATCACCCTGCTGCAAGGTCATAAACTCCAATGCCTTTTGTTCCCTATTGCTCTGAGGGAAGTATTGTTCATTGAAAAGAGTTTCAAACTGCTCCCAAGTCATTTCAGCAACATTAAGCCTTCTTCTTACTGGCTTCCACCAGTTGCTTGCTTGGCATTCCATTTTATATACAGTGAATTCTATCCGGTATTCTTCTGGCACTCCCATAGTATCTAAATGTTTAACTATGGAGTCCAACTAGAACTCCACTTCTTGAGGTCCTCCCTCACTATTAAATGTGAGGATGGGTGCACGCCTAAATTTCCAGAAGTAACTTTGCTTCCTATCCTCAACCGGCTGCTCATTCTGAGCTCTAGTGGCCATGCCTTGAAAGGCAGCATACATGGCATCCAGAAAGTCTTGGTTCTGTGGAGCCGGGTTGTTAACCGACCTACGTTATGGTGGCATCTCCTTTATCTGAAAAAAAAACTAGACAGTTCAGTAGATTCCGGATGTCACACATGTATGTACAATCCTGTGGAGTCTTAACCTAGGGCTCTGATACCACTCTGTCACAGCCCGGATCAGGGGTGGTGATGTGGAGGTTCGATTACGGGTTAATAAAGTAAATTCTCATACGAGCCCTACTTAACTTGATTAAAATATAATATAAATTTCTAAGTCCTAAGCCTCTAACAACACACAGGGCTCCACCCGCAAGACATACAGTACATACATGAACATGTAAATAATCATTATAGACATCAACCACAGTCTAGTAAATCTGAATATTACATGAGTTTACAGAAGTTCACTTTGTTACATTTATATGTCAGAGGATGAACACAATCTTTGCTTGATCCAACAGTAGCAAATATTCAGCTACTCTGCACTGCTCCTAGAGTCCCCTGGGAGGGGTTAACATTTATAAAACAATGAAACGTGAGCGAAAGGCTCACTAGGATATATTTGAAATAACTTTATAAATAAATAAATGAATAAATAAGTGAGTAAACAAATAAGACATTCAGTTCCAACACAACAGCCGGAACCTCATATCCTTTTTCTGAAAGGAATATAAACTGAAAATTACTGTATTCCAGGCATTAGTAAGTAATTTATACAAACTACTTACACAACCAAGTGTACAAGTCTACCCGGACCGAGTTTCGGGTTCTGCCCCCGAGGATGCACTCTCCACATCATATCTAGGCCATTAGCAATATTTTCTTACCGGTTCGCAAGATCTCTTTCATTAAGAAATCATTTATTAAACATTACGAAATCGTTATTATAATCCCACGAACTACAATAAGTCGTGGGTCCCCATGAGCTACAACAAGTCATGGGTTCCATGAACTACAACAAGCCACAGTTTTTAAAATATTTTTCTTTTACAAACAAGCCCCTTTCTTTAAAACATTTGCAAGGCCAAAATCCGTTTGAAAATCAGGCTCACAAAGAAAGGGATAGAAATCCTACCTCGAAATTAGCAAACTTGTGGCTAGCGGCGTACTATTCTAGCTTCCGCTTCCTCAAGCCACTCAATCTGAGTCTTTAGCTATTACTGTTACAAGACAATACTTTACGATTCCAATCTCATTCCTAAAGTAATTCAGACTCAATAATATCCTTTAATTTCCTATTAGTGTGCCATAATCAATTTCATGTTTCAAATCATAATTCCAAGAGTTTTAATTCCAAAAGATGGATTAAAGATGCTAATCCATCGACTTTAGGTCCCCAAATTAAGCTAATTTAGGTCCTTCCCAAAAATAGGGGTCAAAACAACAATTTCAGGCCAAACAGGGTCAAACCCTGTGTACACCGGTCGACTGGTGACAGAGTAGTGCATCACCACCGGTCGACCAGTGGTGTGCATTCTGGTCGACCGGTGGCCTCAGTGCAGTCTGGTCGACTGCATCGGTCGATCGATGAAGAACACCAGTGCGAGAAAACTCATGAAAATTAGTTCGAAAACCTGAAATCCAGTCCTAAATCAAAATATTTCAAGGGAAAACCACTAGATCCGGGTTCTAGGTCCTAAAACAAGTCTGAAGAACCCATTTCCAATTTCTACCCTAGTTTTACTAAAAAACCCTCAAAGTCTATTCCGAACCAAAAATGAGTTTTAAATCTGAAAACTTAGGATTTCAAGAGAGTTCTTTCAAAATCTTACCTTGAATCCTTCTCTTGACGTTGAAACTTCTTGAAACTTTCCTTTGGTTCAAAATTGAGTTGCTTTGAAGAAAAATCGGGAGAGAGAGAGAGAGAGTGAGTGTGAAAGAATGAGAGAGTGAGAGAGAGAGAGAGGGAATGGTCTGAGAGAGAGACACAAGAGGAAAAGAGGAAAAGAAAGAAAAGGAAGAAACGAAAAAGAAAAAGAAAAGAAAATAGACAGTACCAACAATTAAAAAAAACAGTTCAGAAATGCGCCCATACACACTTCTGGGTTAAAATAAAAATTACTAAGAATATTTAAATACCGTGGAATTATTTAAATTACACGTCAGAAACATGTATTAATCAAAATCAATTAATTAAATCATATTAGGCACACTAATATATCTTAATTATCTCAATTAATTCCATTTAATTCTTTGGGGTGTTACAAGAACTTCACCATCGTTTGCACATTCGGATTGAAAATGTAGAGAGAAGGAGAATAATGATTTGGATATTGAGAAGTGTGTGAGTTTACTTGGGTGGCCTTACCTCTATTTATACAAATAGTATCATCTACCTTATTTCGAATTTAGTTAGTATCATCTAACTTGTTTGAAATTTAGTGCTTCTTTCGGGATAAGATTTGGGTAAGTATGAGGGATTTTGTACAAAGGTCTGTGATATGTTCTCATACTTAAAAATGGGCAAAGTTGAATGACAAGCTAAAGTGCCCTTTACACGTCGAGAGCCTCCTTGGCAAGAATCGGTTGCTAGCGTCGATGGTACCATTGTAGCTAAAGTGCCCTTTAGACGTTGAGAGCCCATGCAAGATAACGAAAGTCAAGCATCTCGCATGACTTATGGTGGCCGCGACGTCGAGGCAGATGTCCAGTCAAATCCAATGACAGTCTTGTTAACTCAGGGAAGAATACACTTTTCACCTACCACTGTTGGAGTCAGGAAATCAGGTAGTCGGTAAGGGAAGATGGCCTGATTTCCAGAAGCTATAATCATGAAAATACAACTGCTAAACCCTAAAATGAGGGGATATAAGATGATCTCCTCAGGGAATGTAAGGAAAACCTCTCAGATGTAAAGGCCTATAAATAGAGCCATAAGAACCCATTAGGTTTTTTAGACACTATTTCATTATTGGAAAGAGGTTGTAATCTCTGAGAAATTAGTGCATCGACAAGTGGACTAGGCTAAGAAATCTTACCGAACCACTATAAATTCTTGTCTCCTTTGCATTACTTTATTGCTTTAATCTTTAATTAAGCCATGAGTGTCATTATGAGTGTTCTCGGAGAGCTGGTCAATGAAGCTAATCATGAGTTGTGAGTGTTCTCACAGCATGATGGCTAATCAGAGAAGCCAGGAAGGCTAGACCCCCACCATCGGTGGGACTTCGATGAATCCTTATCGGCCAATGGAAACCCCCCAGACCTCATTGACCAGCTCCAAAAGTAGGTCAAAACACTTGTTACAGCCATGGAGAGGATGGCTATGGCCCTCGCTGGGTGGGATCAAGGGCAAAACTTGATGCCACCATTGGAGGACGTGTCGATGAACCCGGCGAACGTCGCCGTTAGGAACCAACTGATTGGTGACCAGCGTGGTGACGTCAAGGGGGTCGGTGATAGTGGGGCCAACAACCCCCACCCAACCAAGTCAAACAGATCTGTAGGGAGCAGGCAACAAGCGGCCATGAGGAGAGCTAAAGAAAGGGCTGCGGCCCAACTGTGAATAACAGGGAAATGCCTCCTCTACCGTAGCAGGACATGAGAAGGAGGAAAGTTGTCCTAGTGGAATCCTCATCTGTGCGCGGAGGAGACCTCAGAGGAAAGCTGAACGCTCAACGTGACCGAGACGTGTAGCGGACCAGGGAGGAAGAGCGCGCGGTCGAGAACAAAACTCTTGCTGAAAAGATGGCCAGTCTAGAAAAATAGATAAGGAGTCGATTAAATAACTTTGGGCAGGTTATGGGAAAAGTGGCCGAGGCCATAAACTTTGATGCCAAGATGTACACGTCTTACGACCACCCGTTTACTGAAAACATCATTCGGGTACCATTGTCCAATAAGTATAAACCACCCCCTATTCTGTTATATGATGGGAGGAGCAACCCGGACGATCACTTAGAGGTCTACATGGGGCATATGGTCCTACACTGGTACCCCGAGGAGGTTATGTTCTGTGCATTCAGGAATCATCTTTTTGACACCGCCAATAGATGGTTTAGGTCTTTAAAACTGATCTCTATAACCAGCTGGGATGATTTGAAGAACGCCTTCCTGACTTAGTTCATAGGTGTCAAGAAATACATCCCACCCAAGTAAAATCTTTCGAGGGTATACCAGGGGCCTAACGAGTCCCTGAAAGATTAGATAGCTCAGTTTGGGGACCAGGTGGCCGCCACTGAGGGGATCTCTGATGAAGTAGCCTTGATGGGGGCCTTGTCGAGCATGAAGAAGGACATCCCATATAGCACAAACCTCGACCGGAGGCCACCCCAGATCCACCAAGAATTCCTGGTGAGGGCACAGGGATTTATGAATACCGAGGAGGCTAAAAAGGCCTTAAAAAGCAAGGTGGTTGCCCCCGCCAAGGAAGAAGTAGGGCAGGCGAGTAGCCAAAGCAATGGCAAGAAGCGCCAAGGTAATCCTCAGGTGCAGGCGGAACAGAGGTATAATCCGGCCCCGAACAACAGGGGTGGCAACACCTCGACGGGCCAGGGGGATACCAAGCGACCCATGCCACAAAAATACGACGCTTACATCCCCTTAACCATGGGGATCGAGGATGTTTATCATGAGATTAGTCACCTCCATGTGCTGCGTTGACCACCACTGTTGAAGTCTGACCCAACGCAGAGAAACCAAAGCAAGTATTGCAGGTTCCACGGCGAGAGTGGGCACACGACAACTGAATGCTATGACCTGAGGGATGAGGTCGAGAGGTTGATCTGAGAAGGGAGGCTCAATGAATATCGAGCCAACTGTCGGAACAATAAAAATCGGTGAAAGAACGACTGACGGGAGGATCAAAGGCATGACAATCCG